TGATACCGCACTGTAGTTTTGATTTGCATTTCTCTAATGATTAGTGATGTTGAGCATCCTTTCATGTGTTTGTTGGCAATCTGTATATCTTCTTTGGAGAAATGTCTATTTAGGTTTTCTGCCCATTTTTGGATCGGGTTGTTTTTTTGATATTGAGCTGCATGAGCTGCCTGTATATTTTGGAGATTAATCCTTTGTCAGTTGCTTCGTTTGCAAATATTTTTTCCCATTCTGAGGGTTGTGATTGGCTGTTTTTCCCAATCTAAGAGAAATAGATATTTTATATACTTTTAATGTAGTGTTACTTTATATAATATATTCAAATAAAGGTGTCACACTTCTATTAGCTATAGATGTTTAATTATATGACAAAATTTCCAAGGATATCAAACTGCATTTTTATTTCCTGTCAGAATCTACTTTACTCTCAAATACCAAGCTCAAGCATCCAAAATACCTACATATATTGATTGTCTGCTCCATCCATTCTATCTTTCATACGTCTGAAGAAACTCCAGGAGGATGAGACCTTGTTTGTCTTGTTCACTACTTTATCCCCATGGATGCCTAGAATAGTACTTGCAATCAATATCTGTTGATTGAATAAATTATTCAATCACCATTTAAACCTTGACTTAGAGTCTGCAGGGAAGGCACTGGTCATAGTCGAGAGGAAGTTGATGTATGATGTTAAAAAGAGTCATGTTACAACAGGTGATGTTACTAAGACTTCAATGGCCATCTGACTTCAGCCAAGGTTCCTAACCTGTCTAAGCTGTGAGAAGATCCTGTCCAACCTGTGAGAAGATCCTGTCCATGTTGTTCATAAAAAGAGGAAGAAAGCTGAAGATTTCTATTACTTCGACGGACTTGTGTACCTTAGTTTTTGTAGCCTGATCTCTGTTCAAATTCTCAGTTTTGGAGGTGTGTTTAAGTAACAATAGTGAAGGTGACAATTGTTGACATATAATGAGTGCCTACCATGTGCCAGCACTGGGTGAGCACATGTTATTGCTAATCCTCTGAATTTTTACAAATGAAGAAGCTGAGGCGGAAAAAGTTAGGACTTGACTAAGACCAAATAACTAATTGGGTCTATCTCCCTCCAAAGCCCAGGCTCTTTCTATCATTGAATGCTACTTTGTACACAGTCTGCTTCTTGATTTTGACCCTATTTTAGTACTTCCATTGAATAAGCAGCAGAGCATGGTGGTTAAGAGTATGGTACTTGGAAGGGAAACACTTAGATCTAAATCCTGCCACTCAAGTAGCTGTGTGATCTTGGGAAAGTCACTTAAATTTTCTGTCCCTTTTTCCTTATCTATAAAATGGAAATAATGATAGCGCCAACAATATAGGATTATTATAAGGATTAAATGAGTTAATATTTGAAAAGATCTTAGGACTGCAACTGGCCTGTAGAAATCACTGTGTAAGTTTTTATTAAACAAACTCACAGTTCCTTGGTTCTGTGTATGCATATGTTTTTGGTTAGCTTTGTAAGCATACTGCTTCCACTTCTTACTCTCTTTTCTTAGCCTAAACATTGTGATTTTCCTTGCCAGTCTTTAAGAGTTATTTAGAGTTTTATCCACTATTTATATCATGACTGGTTTAAGCAAACTGTTAAGTTTTACATTTTCTCCTAAGTATTTTCATAAAAAACCAAATATATGGTCAGATGTCAAGTTCAAAGAGCAAGGGAATAATTTATTTGTTTTTTCTTATAGCTCCACTGATATTAGGACCAGAAGACTACTATACGATAGCTAGGCAAAATTGTCTAGGGAAGAGACTGTGGTATAAGGTCACCAAAGTCTGACCTTATGTTTTCCTATTTCCATTTCAAAATAGTCTCTTTACTGGTATTTTAAAAAGCAGAATTTAAATTATATCATTTTCAGTTTTACAAGAATTCAAATATATCTATAAAATACCAAAGTTCAAATACTGCTTAATGTTCAGTGGTGTACATAGGGTGATTTGAAGTCTTCTGATAGTATTACTGCTCTTCCCTTACACAGAGGCTAGAGGAATCACTGTCACAAACATTCACAATAGGTTTGGAATCTCTTCTCTAAATAATAATGATGATCACTACCAAAATGGCCTTAGAAATTTTTTTCTTTCTTTTCTTTATTGCATAGGCACCTTTGCAATAAATTTTAAAATTACATATATACATATATTTATTTCATAATTATTTTGCTTCTTAAATTTAGGTCTTTGATTCATTCTGAATTTTTGTATATGGTGTGAGGTAAGGGTCCAAACTTCATTCTTTTGCATGTAGCTATCTAGTTGTCCCATGCCATTTGTTGAAAGGTTATTCTTTTCTTATTGAATGGTCTTGGCACCCTTGTTGACCACAGATGTATGGGTTTATTTCTAGACTGCCAATTCTATTCCATTGTTTTATATGTCTATTCTTATTCAAGTACTCAAGTACTCCCTGGAGACCTCCAAATTTCAATTACATCTGCTATATTTCTGTTAATGTAATTAAATGTAAAGTTCTCACAGACCTTTGGAGTGTCACCAAGCATAGTCCTTGTTTCTCTGATTTGCTTGAATATGTCATTTAAGTTCAGACCTCAGTTGTGAAACAGGGATAATGCTTAACGTATCCAAGGACAGGAGCTTAATTCAGATGAACCCTTCAAGTCCTTTCTATTTAGCTCTAAGGTTAAAGATTTGAGATTTACTAGCTTTGAAAGAATGAGTTCCAGAATACAAATCTGTTAGATATTGTAGTAGAACTTTCCCATAATATGGTTCTAGAATCTGATTTTCTGGGTTCAAATTATGGTTTCTCAAGTATTTAACCTTGATCTAATTTCTGAATTTCTCTATACCTCAGTTTCCTTATATGTAAAATGGAGATAACAGCATTTACATAAAAATTCTGTAAGAATTGTTAGGTCCTGACTTAGTGTTTTTTATTTGCTAGTTGCTCTCATTATTGTTATAATTGCTACTTCTTAGAGAAGTAAAACAAAGCTCAAAACTTCTCTGCTATAATCATTCCAAATCAAAGTGTTTTAGTATGTACATTAGAAAAAATGACTTCAGTGATTTAGTACTTTGACTTTCACATTCCATTCATTGCAGCAGGTATTTCAGTTATATTATTTCTAGTATCATGTTATAGTGTATGTATACATATATACATACATACTGTGGAAACAGTCCCAAACTTGCCCCTTGAACACTCTTAGGAAAAGAACTTGTTTGAACCAATGAGAAAATCTTACAAAGACCCCTCTTTCTCTGGGGAGGCTGGCCTCTTTTTATGAGAGTGTAACTTCGGGAGAAATATATATAGAAACCAGGAGGGAAGATGGGGACTAGTCCTATTCAGATCAGCTTTTTTTTCAATTTTTTTTTACTGTGGTAAAGTACATATAGTGTAAAGTTTACCATTTTAACCATTAAAAAAAATAATAAATTTATTTATTTATTTATGTTTGGCTGCATTGGGTCTTCATTGCTGCACATGAGCTTTCTCTAGTTGTGGCGAGCGGGGGCTACTCTTCATTGTGGTGGCTTCTCCTGTTGCAGAGCATGGGCTCTGGGCCCGCGGGCCTCAGTAGTTGTGGCACGCAGGCTCAGCAGTTATGGCACGCGGGCTGTAGAGTGCAGGCTCAGTAGTTGTGGTGCATGGGCTTAGTTGCTCTGCGGCATGTGGGATCTTCCTGGCCCAGGGCTCAAACCCATGTCCCCTGCATTGGCAGGTGGATTCTTAATCACTGTGCCACCAGGGAAGCCCTTAACCATTTTTAAGTGTACAGTTCAGTGGTATTAAACACATTCATAGGGCTTCCCTGGTGGCACAGTGGTTGAGAGTCCGCCTGCCGATGCAGGGGACACGGGTTCGTGCCCTGGTCCGGGAAGATCCCATATGCCGCGGAGCGGCTAGGCCCGTGAGCCATGGCCGCTAAGCCTGCGCGTCTGGAGCCTGTGCTCCGCAATGGGAGAGGCCACAACAGTGAGAGGCCCGTGTACCGCAAAAAACAAACAAAAAAAACCACACATTCATAATGTTGTGCTACCATCACCACCAGCCATCTCCAGAACTCTTTGCACCTTGTAAAACTGAAACTCCATACCCATTAAAATAATAACTCTCATTCTCTCCCACCCCCAGCACCTGGCAACTACCATTCTATTTTCTGTCTCCGACTACTCCAAGTATGTCATATAACTGGATTCACAGTATTTGTCTTTCAGTGATTGACTTATTTCACTGAGCCTAATGTTCTCAAGATTTATCCCTGTTGTAGCACATGTGAAAACTTCCTTCCTTTTTTTTTTTTTTTTTTGCGGTATGCGGGCCTCTCACTGTTGTGGCCTCTCCCATTGCGGAGCACAGGCTCTGGACGCGCAGGCTCAGCGGCCATGGCTCACGGGCCCAGCCACCCCATGGCATGTGGGATCTTCCCAGACCGGGGCACGAACCTGTGTCCCTTGCATTGGCAGGCGGGCTCTCAACCACTGCGCCACTAGGGAAGCCCCTTCCTTCCTTTTTAAGGCTGAATAATATCCTGTTGTATGGATATGCCACACTTTGCTTATCTATTCATCTGTCAGTGGACAGTCAGGTTGCTTCTACATGTTAGCTGTTGTGAATAATGCTCCTATACGTGGGTGTAAAAATATCTCTTCAAGATCTATATTCAGATCAGCTTTATGATCAACGACAAGATATGACAGCAAAATCAACCTCATGTCACATACTAGCAAGTTCACAATAAATCAAAGAAAAAAATAAAAAAATTAGTGAAGATGAAATTACCACATACTCACTGTATATTAAAACCACAAGTACTAGAGAACTGAATAATCTAAAAGACATCTTGCTGCTCCGGCATTTCAAGCATCTGAAGTCTCTTTTATCCAAATTGCACATGAAAATAATTTACCGGATTCATAAAGCACTTATAAACTGCTCTTCACTATAAACCATGAGTTAGGAGAAAGTAGTTTTGGAAAGTTCTTACCTGGATAAGGTGTGTTGGCACTGTGATGATACAGGCTGAAAGAGAGCTTCGCAGAAGACCACGGAGCATATAGAGGAACTTTGTAAGACTGTGATTGCTGTCACAGTTTTCTGTCCAGCAAATGTCATCTCCCCACAAAGGTGAACCAAGATTCTGGATTCCTATTCTTAAAATATTCTTCTGTTTTTTCTAAGGGAAAGTGAGAGGGAGGTAAACACATTAAGTTTTATTAAACAATAGGATACCTACCTCTTTTACTTTCATCTGCCGGTTCTTATTTTTATTCGAGACAGATCAGGGAGATAATGTCAAGAGACGTAGTAAAAAGTTTTATGTATTATCAATAATAAGGCAATATAAAGGAAACCTTTTAGATTACAAGACTATAAAAAAATAGCAGAACTGTTGTTTTGTTTTTTCTTTTGGAAAATTTGAAGAGTATCACAAGCCTCAAGCTTTTGTTTCTAAATCTTAACAGTGACTAAGAATTATGTTTGAGGCAATTAAAGTAATACATAACAAATCACAGGTAATAATAAAGAGAATCTAAACTAGAATGCTTACAAACCATTCTTACAAAACTCTGTAAGTCTTTCAATAAACTACAGAGTGCTCACTATTTCTCAGATAAATTCTATCATGTCCACCGCCTACTATTTTGTTTGAAAGAAGTTTAAAAATGTGTTTTTGGGGGTTTAGCATTTTACACTTGCCTCTATTTTTTCTTCTTGAAGCTATTTTTTATGATAATAATTTGACACTTTTAATAAAACTTAACAGGTGAATGTTTGGAACTTGATCCCATTGACATTAAGGTCATAATAATAGTGAATGATATTTCTTGGGAAAAGAGTATTGAAAAACCATTAAATAAAACCTAAAATGATTGTCAATAAATGTTTGCCAGCAGATGTGTTTATAATAAATTCTACTGTTTGGGTTATTCTAACTGAACAAATGTTTTGCAAATGCTTTCCTTAGCAATTCAGCAAAATTTCCAGGCAAAGGAAGGAGCTCTTAGCAAAACCTGGCACATGGAAATAACTGGAAAATCATTATTACAATTCTAACGGGGAAAATAAGACTATTCTCCCAAAGCAAAGATTTGGAACATGCCACTTTAGATGTGATTTCTGATGAAACAAGATCCTAAAATATATATATCACTTGCTGTTGCTACAAAATACCACTAATAAAATTTATTAGCCAACTAGTTGTTGCCCAATACTATATATATATATATATATACACACACACACAATATATATATATATATCTCCCTGATTAGACACACAAGTGATTTTTTGTATTCCTTTTCAAGGAGAATTTATTGACAAAAGAAAGTAGGGAAAATGAATAAAACGTTTAAATGTTAGAAGAGGAAAGACTACAGGGACAATAGTAAGATGGGTAAGATACAGACTTAAAGTCTGCATTGTGCAACTAAGTAGATGTATGATTTTGGGTAAAACAAGTAATTACTTAGGCCTTAGTTTTCTCATTTCTAAAATTAAAAGGATAGAATAGAACATTGCTGTATGAGACCATATAATTCTTCAAATATATAAAGTGACAAAGGCCTGGATAAAACTGCGAGAATGAGATTTTAAAAAGAGGAATTTAGTCTAAGCACACTTGAGAAAAACTTTCTGACTTCTAGGGCCTAAAGCACAAAGACAATCATATCAAGGTAGTTGGTCCAATTTTCTTTTCTGGTTGCCTTTAGGTTATGATGACAAGCATCTAAGATACCATATGTGGTGATCCTCAACAGTCCATAAAAATTATTTTCTTTTTATTTCTGCATTACTTGAATAAAATGAAGTAATATGATGTACCATGGTATATGTTAGAAGTATAAATAAATTTCCAATGAGTTCCTATAGCTGTGAAATATGATAGGTTATTCATTTTTGTGTATTACTTAGAAACTCAGAATTTAAACAAAATGGCAAGATTAAGGTTCATTTTTCTCATCCTTAAACTTGTTATCTTATGAACTGTAGCTTAAGTTAGATTCCTAACAGAAAGAGCAACTTGGAAAAAAAAGAAAGAAAATTCCCCCCCGCCCCAAATCTAGATATTAGAATGAAATCTGATGGTAAAAGGAGAGCAGCCTCATATTGTTTACCTTGTCAACACTTCAGAAACTAAAGGTCAGCTGTATTTTATCCCACAGTCACCATTACCTACTACTGCTGTATCAAAAAGTTAACACAAGTTCATAACAAAAATGCTGTCAGGTGCAGAATCAGGAGAACCACAGTTTAGTGACTTTGACAGTTACACTGATATACACATATAGAAAGAATGAAAATATTAAAAGCCAGAGAATGAATGAGTGATAAGATATTTAAGTGAAGTATGTACACAGTACATTAGAACATAACTGAGCATAATACTTCAACCCAGGGAATACATTTATATTTTTAAAAATATGACAGTATTGTAAAAACAAAGGCTGAGTTACAAATTTCCTGTGTTGTTTGGGACGTATAATTCCTTGCTACACCATATAATAATGGGGCATACTGTAAGGCATAATAAAATTAAAAAAATAAATGTTTGCTGACAGCTGAACAATAAATATATTCCTATGAGAAGATCTAAAATATTTAATCTGGTACTCTAAGTAAAATCAATGTTCAAATTTCATTTATTGTATTATTTCTTAGATATCTGAAAATCAAAAATTAAAAATAAAATTATGACAGCGACTTGTAAATGTTTCCACTCCAAGTATCTTTAGGGATGAGCTATAATACTTTACTTGCTACTGTTATTAATTATATGGTAGTATACAATACTCTGTTCCTTAGAGTCTATTTCTATTTGTTGCCTCCAACTAGTTTATTTCAAAATGTAGTGATAGAGAAAGTAAGATGAAAATATCCTTTTAAAAAGTAGGATTTATTTCAGTGTCAGAATATTATTTTGACTCGGGAATAATATTTTTTTAAGTAGTGCCTGATAGATGCATTTCTGTGGCTTCTGGAAGTAATCTAAAGTTTCTGAGGCAGATTTATAGACTAGATAATTTAGCAAATGATGCAATCCATAATTTAAAAATATGGGAATTCATTAACTATATTTTAGTTCTAATAAAATTGGAAATATATATTTATAATAAATTACTGGTATATTTAATTTAATTACAAATTTGTTTTTAGCATTCCTGGTACTCACCATAAAAACGTCTGTCTCAACCCTGTTTAATCTTTATGAAGGTCAAAAGTTATAGAACCTCTGGTTCAGAGACCCAAACCAGTTTGTTGTCTATCAATGTTCATGAAATAAAATATTGTTTACTGAAAACAGTGTTGATTCATAGTCAAATAAACAAGAAAACAAACCTTTCATTCTATTCCAATAATAGCTTTTTAAGGGTTCTTCGGATGTGTGTGTGTGTATACATATCCATATATGTAAGTATAAGGGTATCTCTTTGTTACTGCCTTTGCTTTTTTGCTTTCTATAAAATTTCTTGCTCTTAGAAGATGTGTCATCATTCTACAAGAGCAGCAGCTCTGCACACTGTACCACAGGAACTGTTATGACATGCCTGTTTCCATAGTTACCAGAGCAAGTGGGAAGAGGTGTCTGTCAGGGACCAATTACCTCTCCAGACGGGCACTGCCACCAAAGAGAAGACATGGTGCCCATAAATCTTAGCTAGGACCAAAAATGGAACAACAATGAGCAAAATAAAACTGTACTAAATACCAAGGGCCATCACAAAAGCTGTAACATACATGAAAAACCATCTATAAATGAATGTCTGTGCTTTGCCATACACACATAAGTATTTTCAACCTGCTATTAAACTGATGATTGAAAGAAATTTTAAAAGTATTTATTTTGCTATGGACAAAGTGTTAAATATAGCAATAAAGCTTATAAGAATATTTAAAAATCTATGATATAAATTAAGAGCAAATGTAGTTGATAATGCTGAAAATAAGACTTCTGGCTTTTTTGTCTTCTTCAGTAAAAATAATGGTGCTCTGGAAATAATTCTGCTAAAATAATATAAATGAAATGCAAAACTTTTAGCAGCAATAGCAATTAAAATCACTGAGGAAGAATTGTGAAAGGCATGATATCTAGAAATAAAATTTCCCTCATTTTGTTTAAGTTAAACTAACCGGAACATTTTTAATAGTAGGAATCCAGAGAAAGTATTTAAAAATAGAGCTACAGAGAAATAGTTAACTTATAAAATGTTTTAATGTAGCAAATAAAAATGCATCTTTTATTCAATGAGACAACTCAAAGCATAATATAATAAATAAAATCTTGAAATAATTAATTCTTACACATAAGATAATTTAACATTAAGGCCTAAATGACAGAAATATAAAAAATTTCAATAGAAGAGTACAAGTCTTGCAGATTTAACAGTTAATTTTCAAACTGTGGTATTTATTAACTCCAGGTACTACAAATACATATTTAAAAATAATGTTGACAATGTATGTGAACATCTTATGGGCATCCACTGAGAACTTAGCTAAAATTCTAAATACACATTTACAGTCAAACTAAGGCTGCCCGTGCTCTGCTTATTTACATCCTCTGTGCTTAGAAACAGCTTGTTCGCTGTTGATTATTCTAAGACCTACTGGGTCTACCCCTAGAGAGTTTAAAAACAGCATTACATACATGATTATAAAAAGGCTTTGAAGGTACTCAATACCTGGGGATTGGATCCATCAAATCCTTCCTCATAAATGATGTTCTGGATAAACTGCAGCAGCTTTATGTAGCTATGGCTCAAAGAACTGTTGATAAGAAGTGGTTCAAATGCATAAATGAGCTTATTACACAGGAAATACAAACTGTAAGCTAAAACTTTAAATAAATAATTAAAAGATATACATTTATGAGACTATACTTAAATATAAGACAAAAGAGTATAAGGCATTCTGAAATAAAAAGTCATACATCCATGGAATAGGTTGCAATGCCCTATATTATCTAGCTCAATGTTCCTGACATCATGGGAAGATAAAAATCTGTGGAGACTGAGATGACTTAATTATGTCAGGCTTAGTTACCTCCAAGAAAATTAATGATTTAATGAAGCAACCTAAAAGATGAAGCCACTATAGCTTTTCAGGAGTAATCATAGATAATTAACACATAGTTAATGAACTGCTATGCCAAGTACACCTGAATCAATGTCCTGATCACTTGAGCTCATCTTCCATCAAAGTTTTAATATTCTTAGAACAAATCGTTAATAATAATATTAATTCAAAAACAACGTTTTAAGAAAAATGAAGACAAGTGAATATAAGTTCCACTTCTGTCTGTAAAAAAAAGACAATAAGACAAATGTATGAATTTAAGAAGATAAACTGTTTCCCACATGAATATTAGCATTAATGTTACTATTTCAAAATATTTTACAAGTGCTATGAAACATAACAAAAATTTAGTAAGAGTGAAGAAAATCTGCTTTAACATTAACTGAGTTTAACATTCTTCATAATGGACAACCTGTGTGCTATATCTGAACATTAAATGTCATGATAATGAAATCCTGGAAAATTGCAATTTCATCGAAATTGAAGTGCCTAATACTGTAAAAGCTGCAGGTGATTTTAAAAATACAAAAGTATTGGGACTTCCCTGGTGGCGTAATGGTTAAGAATCTGCCTGTCAATGCAGGGGACACAGGTTTGAGCCCTGGTCCGGGAAGATCCCACATGTTGTGGAGCAACTAAGCCCGTGTGCCACAACTACTGAGCCTGCG